AGTAAACAATGGTTTATACATGGGAATACAAATTTTGTGATAGTTAATGAAGTGACTGAATATACGACTGGTAAAGTAATTCTCGAAAGTGTACAGGCAAGCTGAGTTTTCAATTAATTTCTTGTTTAGTGTTTCAGATACTACCCGAGCTTTCAAACCGAAGTAGGTAGTTTTTTAAGGGGTCATTCTCCGAACTTTTGACGACGTCTGACTCTCAGAGCCTGGGAGAAAGTTCATTAGGTGCATTTCTATGGTTGCTGATGATTGGAACAGGTCATTTTCTAGGGTCGTACAACTCACTTGCATCACGTGCTTGGAACCACCCTCTATGTCCACCACTTCGATTATGAGCGCCAAAATTTTTCACCTGACTAATTTCCAAAGGAGACTGCTAACTGTACCTTTAATATATTTAGCGTAAAGAGCATCTTAAGCTAATAATAATGCATTGTTTCTTCAAGTGGTGGGTTCGAGGAGCCAAACACCAGATTAGTAATAATATAGTAGGTCTTACTTTTGAAATCATCCGAACATGACTGAACAGTTGCCGATGCAGATATTGTTTGACAACCTTACTTCAGCGTATATATATATGACTACATATTCCTAAATATGAGAATGTAATTTCTCTAGGATTCACAAAACCATGCTCACTAGACATTACTGCCATTGTTGATCAATTTCTAAGTTACACATTTGCAATACCTCATTTAACGTAGACGTATTTAGTGTGAAATTGATGAGAGAATGACCTCTCAACAGTATGGGTGTTTCAGAGTTTATCTTGAGATTTGCGTGTAATCTTCTAATGCTGGACAACTTATGAGGTCTATTTATGTATACGGTGTCAATATAAAGACTAGCTGTGGACTACAAATACTATTGCTTCTATGGAATTTTACTTAGTTTTATTATTCATACTAACATATAAAATTATCTTTCATGACCTCATGTTGTGCTTCACATTTTAGGTATATGGAGGTTTTGGAATGTGAAATCAGTGGAAATGTCAATCTGTCAAACTAACGCTAATACCCTTCATCAGAATTTTCTTTTGTAAACTAAGAAAATGTTTAATATACTCTTTATTTCCACTTCTTCTTAACGTCTTCAGTGCGTGGCTTTACTATGAGCTTTCGTAATATGTGAATTCTGATTAATGCATGTTAAGATTTACTATAGTATTATGAAACTTTTACTTTAACCACTCATAGGATTTCGCGTCTGTTTCTAAACAATAGCACATTGTAAAACCTAAGTAGGATTTAGCAAGTCGAATAATAGTTCTGTAATATTCGTTAGGATAAAGTCTCCTTATTTAGCCAGTTGCAAGTCTGTATACTGCTAAACGCCAAGTATATGGTACAAGTAAATTAGGGTTGATAGCTACTTCATTAATCAGTTAATATGCAGTGGCATCATCAAGTACACTGTCTACTTGGCGATTAGCTAAGAAACAATTTTCATTTATTTCTGATGTGCTGTTGAATCATGTGATGTTATCTAACATCCATCATTTCTATGATCAACAACGCCAGTGTTTGCATATCTACTTTGTTAAGTATGCCGATGATCTAACTATTTCAATGTCTGTCAACTCCCAGCTAGACTGTACTAAAATGAACAGACTTCTATCAGGAATTAGAGCAAATGGTCTTCCCCTAACGGCCTTAAACTAAGTCTTTCCAAATGTCAGACAGTTAATTTCAGTTCCACATGTAAAAGAAAGTCAAATGAAGCTGTTAATTCCCATGACCGTTGTATAATTGATGATACTGATATAGAAATCAAGTCTGAAATTAAGTATCTTGGATTAATTCTTTCTTCTGACCAATCCTGATCTTCCCATATCTTAGCGATTTCTAAAAGGACATTTCGTCTGACTGTTTTTTTATAATATATTTGTCAGCCAAATCTCATGAACTGTCAATGACCAGCTCTTACTACGCTGGACCTCACACTGTCCCTCGAAGACTTTCAGAAACACTTTGTATTAAACAACGCGAAAACCAGAACACAGATTGGCGACTCGAGAATCCTTTATTCTTACGCCAATATGTAACCAACAACAAGGTTATTACACACAAGATCTAAGAATAAATGTTATAACAATAAATCACGATAATACTTCTGACAGTTTTCTATCTTCCACTGAACAGCGAACGATGAGACGATGACTCCCGCGAAAAATATGGAGGAGTGGGGATTGAGCAAACAACCATGAATTGATCGTTCAATCTTCAACTACATTGACACTCCCCGGCATAAAAAAGATCCATCCCCTCTTTCCATCACGACCAATACACGTTGACTTGGATGTCAGTGCGAGAACCTGGGCCAGACGGACAAAGCTGAAATGGAAAACAAACAGAAAAGCCAACACACCACAGGCATACCAACAGCACAATCACACTCGTCGGCGACGACCTACGCCTTCCAGTCAAAGGCATCCTCTTGACATCTTGCAACACAATCGCCACTTGCTAGAATGACTCTTGAAGAACGCGACGTGACCATAGCACCACCTCATGATACTCTTCTCACATCCTCTTATCTATTCACTATCAATTACCATTGCGATCGCTTGTCACTCATTCTGCCTCAGTTCTAGTAACGGTGACGTATGCAAGCCTCAGTCGTCTACACTCTCGCTTCCCGGCGTGTGGGACCACAGCTAATCGTCATCTCCGTGCGCATATCATTCTCATCACTAGCCTCCCCGGCGTATACGACCCATTTGCTGTCTTTAACATCAATCAATTCATTCACAGATGTAGAAGACTCGAAACAACCTTCAAGAGTAGGCACGACGAAACTTTTAACAAAATTATGCAATAGCAACAAGATACGAAAACAACAAATAAACACAGTGAATCCCAAAACACCAATTGATATGAATCACCACACGTATATACAACAATACACATAACCTCGCCGATCATGTCTTGACGGAATTCCTTTGCAGGACTTACACCAGTACCCCTCCAACCCTTCTCAGGTTAACGATTGTGAGTTGAAGAATGTCCGGACACAAACAAGATGAACCAACAATTACATTAATTGGAACCCACTCAATTACTTAACACAAACGTATGTACAATCAATACATCAAATGTTGTGGATTCTGCCTTGACGAGCTACTCTCGAAGAACTGTAGGACTTACAGCAGTACGCCTACATTCCTTATCAGGTTGACGCCCTAGGTTGGAAAATCGTCGCAGACTTCATTTTCTGACCTCCTTCTAACATCTATATCCTCAACTCTGAACGGTAACACGCCCATGACATTGTATCGTGGAATATAGATGACTAACAAACACACGACGTATTTGACCAACCAGGCGTGGGCACAGAATAATTTACACCAAAGATAATAACATTCAAATAGTAACTTGAAATTTGACAGGCCTTTATTCGTGCAAGTCAGTTTAACAATTACACTCTCATACACAGTTGGCTTATCCTCCCTAAACTGACCATTGACTTTCGTCCTTTCAAACAGACCGATACTAGCATAGTCACAGCACAAGACACTTGAGTTCATGGACGTCACCTTCATTGTGGATGACAACACCAATGACGACTGAGTGACACAAGTTGATGAACTTAGCGGTGCATCAGAAGATGTTGTCGTTCGACCTTTAGAAAGTTGTCTAACCGTAGGATTACCAAGACTGCTATCTTTTATGACTAGCTCGAGTTTAGCACTAACATCTGTCGATAGGTGGACTACACGCGGATCATAAACACTGACGGTGTCACGAGTATCCATACCTTCTACCACCGCATCTGCCTTTAAGTCTGCTTCACGTTCAAGTTGTACAGAACCTTTGTTCAACTCAGTAGTACTAGGCATTCCTCTCATCTCATCATGATTAACCGAAGACAAAAGCGCACTATCATGATCATTATCACAAATATTCACTTTACCGTTGTCTATCTGGTCAACTTCATCATTTTCAAACTCTTTAATAACAACAGTAGACAATTTGGGTTCTTCCTCATAAATCCTTAAAGGTTTTATACCTTTACTCTAACTAGTAATACCTTGTAAAGTTGTGGAGTCAGAACTGGACTCTGAAACTGTAAGTCTCTTCTCCTGCACAAACTGCGGTGTCTTCTGTGACACTATTCAACAATAGCTTACCAGTTGCAACTACAGGCTTCTTCACCACACCATTATCGTCACACGGTTCGGAGTCAGACCTTGATTTCACATTTAGCTTACCACTAAACTTGGTCACTTCTTCACAGTTCGCCCTTGTATGCACTTCTTGAAAACGTGTAAAACACAACCGTGTTTGTCTCGCGACTTGTAACTTATCTGTTGGGATGTCCCACGAAGGCTGTTACACTCACTAAGTTTATATGGATTACTCAGCAGTGGTTAAATGGCCTTTTGATGAACATCGAATCCATACTGAAAGCGTCGAAGATTTATTACAACATGCACACTCCTGATTTCACTATGAAGCATGCATGCCAAATGCATTACTTTAGGGGCCTACACAATTCACAAATTAACTCACAACACTGAAGTGGAAAAATTTATATTTGTCCTAACTGAGCATAATATAACAAATCTTGTGAAGTAATTTTCTTATGCAGAAGAGAGGGGCAAGGTATTCATAATCTTATGGATAACGTCTCCTTGTTGCTCAAACGGGCCATGGAGTCAATTTTAATGAAATGTCAATCTATGCAAAATAGGCCAGAAAACCTACTCTTCGAAATTCGATTATTTCTATACGGAATAACTGTACACTGCTAGTCATGACAATAGTATTACAATCTTAGCGTAAACTAATTATGCACAGAATAACCTATCTTACATTTAACAGCACGTCAGCTCTATAAGGCATCAAAATAAAACATTTGTAAGACACAACATTAATACATTCAAAATAAAACAATCATGTAACGAATATATATACATATATATTTTCTTTGAAAAAATACAACAAATGAAAGGGCTTCGTACAAAAGAATTCATACAAAGATCAACTAGTGAAGTACAGAGAGTTACCACCACCACTGACTGTTTTAGGTAGGTTTGAAAATACACAAACTTCGCCAGCATTATTTTTATTGGTAGTGTCGTTTTCCGGATTGAAACGATCAGTCGCTTGACTCTCAATAGAATTTTGTTGCACACTATCTTCGTCGTCGGACAATACAATAACTATGGGCTCATCGGACAGAGATGTGCTTTGAAGTTTATCAGCTTCACAACTATGGTGGAATGTTTCCGACAGAAGTTTTGGACAATCAACAACACCTCTTTCATTACAAGAACGAGTTAGTTCGCCTGAAATTAATTCATTGTCACTAGTCACACTATGGTCACCATTATTATAGGCATCCGTTTGTATATTGTTTGATAAATGCGATGAGGTGTCAGCAATCATACCATTCCTACTTTCATTCGATAGATTTGGCGCGTTTTTCGCTTTGGAATCGCTGTTACATCCATCTATGATTATTAATGAGGCTGGCATACCAGGAAGATCTGCATACATATCTTCAAGTAGATCCTGAAGATTACGAACCGCTGAAAATGAAGAGAAACAAATTGAGTGATCCAGTTCTCTTCAATACATTAATCTCAGAAAAACGTGTTCGAGATATAACTATAACAATACTAAATAAAAAGGGAATACTTTCACAAAAAAAGTGGGTTTCACTATGTTTGTCATCATACAAATGCAATATTATGTCAGAAGAAAGCAGTGTCGTTACAAACACACTAGACCAGAGACATTAACATCAACGTAGAAACAAAAATTACACTGGAAATACTTGTGTAACGTCAGAAGACAAGGGCCAGACAACAGATCGTTTATTGAGATAATCAAGAGATATGTATAGAATTTTATGTGCATTATTGTCAATGGTGAGGCATTGTCTTCTGACTGGTTGTTTTCTTGCTGAGAGTTATTATGTACTACTTGTGGCCATTTCTCAGAAAGTTAAGCTATACATCTGCGAATCGCATTTGCACACACTAAGTCTGCTGTGCAAATACCAGAGATATGGAAGATATTATTACCACCAGTCAAATCAGAGGAGGATAATAAAGAATTTTAAAATTCTATTTCAATTCAAGCACATCACAACATTCCAACAAGTGACTTATTATGACTATAAAAACACTCGTCTTATTCCCCATCTGATTGTATTTGATATCTGGATGTACATTATGATATAATAATTTTTATTCAAATGTCTGATCAATTTCACTCATGTATATAAATGAAGTAAAAAGTTGTCTGAGTGACATGATATGATTATGAGTAGCAATAGTTTGTGCTCGAAACGTGGCCATCAGTAAATATTACTGTATAACAGTGTGTGTTTATCAAATTATCTATAATGGAGGTATACTCCACCACAGTGCCGAAGTTTTATACTTATATCAATAAGTCTGCTGTGACTGGTTGATGAGCCAGTTTTGTTCTCTGTACGCCTAGGTTTTTTTCTTTTTCTCTCTCTCAGGCGTCAGGGTATGTGAGTTTCAGTCATGATGCTATAGATGACAATATTTACTCTTAGGAAAGATTGAGAAAGTAAAACTCTTATCATCACATACATCATTTACAAGAAGCACAATAAAATATTGTATACATTACAGAGAATCTATCTATGTTAGGCAAAATTATTGAACACTACTACTCAACAAACCTGCACGTGTTGCTTCTTTTGCTTTTGAATCCTTAGGTAAAACAATACATTTATTGGTATCCGATAGAATTAATTTGTTAGATAAATTAACAGCTGCATCTTTAATACGACCTGAATCTAATGATGTCTGGTCTGTGCTTCTGGTAACAGCAACTTCAGCAACTTCATATAAAGATTGTTCGATAACTAAAGCTTGCTCAATCAATTTTAAACGATCCGTTAAAAAGGCATGAAATTCGGTATAGTCTGAGGGAATACGTACAGGCACAGTTGCTAAACGTGAATAAAAAAAAGTGGAATTTGAATTCATCCAAAAAGGTTAAGGGATGAATTCAAAGTCTGTATTAATGTTATGATAACAGCATTCAATAAACGATTGAGATTCGAGAATTATTGATAAAAAGTCACTGACAAAAGTTTTTTATGCAGCTCAGATGTACAAAACATAAATGAATTTATGCATTGACACTGTGTTATAATTTGAATACCTTAAAATCTTTTCCAACCATCTTCAATTAACACTGATATATGAGTTGTACTGTAGGTGGTAGGGTTTTCTCATTGCTCCTTCTTTAAAATAAGACAGCCAGAGACAATGAACTGCTAAATCTTAGTTAGGCCTTAAAGCCGAAAATGAGAGAAAAGTTACTGCAAGATTTAACGTTTGATCGTAGAGGCGTGATAACTAAGCTTTGTAACACCATCTTTAGCAATAACTTATTGCCATCTCATCTTCTCTAACTTTAGTCCAACCGCAATCGAAGAGTTTTCGGTTATATAACAACTTTGGCCGTGAAATTCCACTGGTTCACACAAAGTCCAACACTCTTTGTTTCGTGTAGTGGTGAAACTCCCTGCAGTCAATTAGTCATTATTATTCTTCCACCTTGCACAATAGGCTTTGTTGGTCTACACTCCATTTCAATCGTAAATTAGCGAAGTACTCTTTTTGTTGGTTGCCTCTGAGGTATACTTGACCTAGAATATTCTAAATGTTCATTTGAGATGCTAGTAGATTTTTTTTTCTGTCGATAAACACATATATGGAGACAACAATTCACTCTAAACATCTTAAGAATTTACTGTCCTTCAGATTTTCGTTGTGCTGAATGTGCTAAAGAGTATTTTAAACATAACGATTGCAAGCGACATTGCTGCTGATGCTTAAAATTTGTTCTATGTAAGTAGATTTACTGCATACTGCAATGATGAAGAATAGTCAGTTATCATTTCTCCTTTTTACAATGTTTTCCACTTAATTGCCTTTGAAAATCATAAAAGTATCGTCAGGTTATCTTATCCAAACATACTGTTTGATTAGCACAATGAAAATTGATACCAACCCGTGCATTATAGATTTACCAACCAATCTTGATATTGACGATAGCACGGATGTTTATTGATTGATTGTACCGTGGTAATTTACTTCTTCTCCGCAAATATTTTCTATGGTCACCTTTTAAAGGCGGGAAGACAGAATAAATGCCTCTTCTGTGGTCTTCCGCAGAAAACTCACTGCTAATAGTACATACTTATAAGCCGGTTGTCACTAGAAACCTTTCGCATTGCAAATAACTTATTTTCAATGGTAGCTGACTTTAATCTAACTGCTTTCAACTAGATATTTTTTGGCGTAAGAATTTTTTCCATTACAGCTTGATTCCACATCGTATTTTCGGTAGAAGTATGGAATTCTCAGCATGCAATAACGGTAGCCCAAACTTTGTAGACCGACAACTAATATCAGGTATGCGTCGGCAGGGCATCAAACCCCTGGTCGGTGAGAGTCCTAACCACTGTGCCACCGACGCATGCTTGCAAGATGATCTGTTTCAGTCAGGCAGCATACATCCTCGATTCATCACAGTATTGCAATTCATGGTTATAAGCAACAAAGTATGTTGGAAAAGTTATCTAACAAACACTTTTAACAACTAAATGCCAGAGTATACAAATAATGTATCACGAAACTACATTATCATAGTAGTATTTGAATTATTTCTTGTTCTGTAACGGTTGAAAACGTGCTTTTTTCACAAAAACGTCCTCAGTGTTAGTCAAATTAATATTCAACTGGCATATACAATCAGGAACGGAATGGAAACGAGTTAGAGAAACAACATTGTCAATTTTTAAAACAAAACAAAAAAACAACAACATCTAATTAGTTACTGAAAAACTGCTTATTCCGCGCCTTAGTAGCTTAAAATTAATATATCTGTTGGTTAAAGTGACAGTATACGTCGCTATAACGGCTTGCATAACAAACAAATGACTTCAGATAGGATTAAATATACACTTCATCTTACATAGAAATTATTCATGAGATACATTTCATTCCCAAAATAAAACTTATATCCGCAACATTATCATCCCAGAGAATGGCATTCAGGTTGTCCACATAAAAAACGCAACACATATGACCCTCCTGGCGGTAAGGAAATTTATCGATCTAATTACAACAACCTTCCAGAGTTCAAAAAACCAGAACTTTGTTCAGGTACTAGACAAAATCAAAAAATTTACTAAGTGGTAAATTCTGACAGAAAATATCACTCATCTGGTTTATATGGCGGCTATCCAACGCATCATATCATGCTACATTACCGGAACAAGGGAATAAAAAGAAGTACACATTAAACTATTACTTACTTAATTCAGAATTCATAAGTCTATTCATAGCGTCTAGTACACCAGACACTCCAAATTTTACTATAACGAAACGTGGATCGGCCAGTATATCATCCCAATTGGCATATCCATGAACAAGTATACCAGCAAGCAACCAATAATCATGACGTGAATGCCAAATTCTTTGACTCTTTAGTATCATTTCAGAGTCTCCAGCCATCTGTGATTGGGAGCAAATTGTTTCACGGATATTGTTGATTTGTGCACATTCATCATTCCACATAGAACGCAATAATGATAAGCCACCTTCATTATGTTAAATTTAAATTCAGAATATTCATCCTATCAATAGACAAAAAGCAAAGGTGTTTATGTAAATATATATATATATATATATATTTGTTGATAGGAGAAAACAACAGAGGTGTTTATCATTTCATATAAGTTTTATCAGACATTTTCCCCAATGCGATCACAACTTTTTGTTTTCAACCGGTTACACACTCGCAAGCCTAAACCATATTTCACTACCGGATAGCTGACACGCAGCTAAGATATACCACAGGACAATATGTAAACAGATTATAATTCCGGCTGGAATAATAATAATAATAAAATAAGCATGAGTATTTTTATTATTATTACTATAAAATAAAAAGAAACCATAGTCCACATTGTAGAGAGCCAATTTTAATCAGTGGTAATGAGAGAAACAGGACTTACATCAGTAGCAATACTTCTTGCACCGTTAATATCTTCATATTCTAATACTTTATTTCTAATAAGAACCAGCATTGCAACACGTGATAGTACAGCAGGGACGCACAGGTGTTCCTTAGGTAAACCATCGGACCATCTAAACAAAAATTATTTTAAATTAATATATAAAAATGAAATTAAAAATAATTTTCTTCTACAAATCAAAGTTAATATTATGAGAATACCTGACCAATTTGAAAGTTTATAGGACGGTGATAGTGAAAACTGACAAGCGACGAGACAATCCTTTTAAATATCAACTATCCAAAATGTCAAATGTATCATTATCATCCTCGTCCTCAATCATTTTCCAGGAGTGTTCCGACACGTGATGACCTCTTTTCCTGTGTTGGCCGCTCTTAGTTTAGCATTCATATCATCCATTAGAAGTCTGATGTCGCTATTTGGGGACTGGTGCATTACTGTTTACGGTTATCTGTAGAAATCTTCCTTCTCTACTTATGCCAATCACCTAATCATTGAAGGCGAAGAAGTCTGAGAAGGGTTCTCCGTTATCATGCATCTCGCCTCTAGCTCGATGATAAGTTATCTTCCTGAATTATCTGCTCCCAGTTTATCATTCTGAGAAGCCTGTTTAAAGCCTCAACAAGACCAGACAACTGAATATGTTTCGGAAATCACTTTGAAGTGATTCCAAGCAATACTGATCCCTCAAGGAACTTATTTCCCTCCTACCCTACTTTTATTTTTATACATAGTTTCCTGTATTGTACCTTTTCTAACCTTGGCTTCTTAACCTTCGACAGCCTTTCGCCTTTGTCGAGATTCCCAGCCTATCCGTGTCGTTTCGAGATGTTAGTGAGTAGTCCTCAAAATGGTTGTTCCCAATGTGACATCTAACACGGATATCCTGAAACCGCATGCTGCGTTGAAGCTGGCTACCTACAATGTTCGGACGCTGATGCAAATCGGACAACAGGCAGGGCTGGCAAGAACTTTGGAAAGCCCCGCTATCGATGTCTGCTGCGTTTCGGAGACCCGCATTCAAGATCCCAGTCAAGTGCTTCGACTATCCTCTCCATCTGGAAGTTCTAGTAGTATGTACCACCTGCGCTTATCCGGGGACCCTGTGGCGTCGGCATCCGGCGTAGCTGGTGTCGGTGTCGCACTGAGCGCTAGAGCCGAAGCTGCACTGCTCGACTGGATTCCCATTAACAGTCGTTTATGTGCTGTGAGGCTGGAAGGTTATACGAAAGTAAAGAGTAGTAGGCCAGATAGGCGGTGTCTATTTGTTGTCTCTGCCTATGCACCGACGGATTGCAGCCCGAATGCAATGAAGGATGAGTTTTACTACCAACTGAGCGATCTCTTGAAACAGGCGGGTCGTAGGGATATCGTAGTGCTGGCTGAGGACTGGAATGCACAGGTGGGGCGTCTAAGCTCAGAGGAGAATCGTCTAGGTGGTCAGTGGGGACTACATGGTCGCAGGTCAGATAATGGGGACCGTCTTCTGCAGCTTTGAGCGGATCACAACCTATTTCTAGCTAGCACCAACTTCCGGCACAGCCATCGCCGTAGCGCTACCTGGCGTCCTCCCTCTGCGAAGCAAGCTTGGACTCAGATTGATCATATCGCGGTCAGTTTCCGGTGGCGAGGATGCATACAAGACTGTCGCTCCTTCTGGAGCACATGCCTGGACTCCGATCATGCGTTAGTGTGTGCCAAGTTCGTCTTGCGATTTGGTGGGGTTCGTAAAAGCCGTCGTCTAAGCGTTGATGTGAGCAAACTAGTAGCACCTGCTACTTCTTTGAAATATCAGAATGAGTTAAAAACAATGCTTGGCAGCAACCCCCCAAGTAGTATAGATGAACATTGGCTTCATGTGCAAGGTGCCATGCAAAAGGCGAGTGTAGCCGCTTGCGGCTTGAAAGAATGCTCCGCTAACAACCACTGGGTTTCTGCGAGTTCCTTGCAACTCATGGATGAACGCCGGTCCATTCCGGCTGGTAGCGAATACAACAATCAGCGAAAGGCGCTCACGCGCAAGATTAGACAGTGTTTACGTAAGGACCGCGAAGCCTGGTGGTCAGAACGTGCGTGTGAGATGGAGTCAGCTGCTGCATCTGGCAACAGTCGGAAGCTGTTCCAACTCATACGAGCCACCGGCAGCAAGAAACAAGGTGTCAGCGACACGGTCTGTGAGGCAGATGGCACTCCAATTACCAGCCTGAAAAGACGCCTGGAACGCTGGGCAGAGCACTTCGGGAAGCAGTTCAGCTGGCCACCAGCTTCAGTGTCTATTATCATTAGCCCGAGTGCTCCTTGGTCGGTTAGTACCGACCCACCCACCGAAGCGGAGGTCCGTAAGGAACTCCAAGTTCTGAAACGCCATAAGGCGCCCGGCCCAGACAAATTACCCCCGGATCTTTTTAAAGATGGTGGCGAGACTCTCACAATGGCTCTAACTGGGTTGTTCAGGAAGGTGTGGGAGACAGAGAGTATACCATCAATGTGGAACGAAGCCATTATCGTCCCCATCTTTAAAAAGGGTCGACGTAATTCGTGTGACAATCATAGGGGTATCAGTCTGTTACCAGTCGCGTCTAAAATTTTGGCTGCTATCTTGCTTCGCAGACTGTGCAAAATACGTGAAGGATTGATTCGCGAAGAGCAGGCTGGGTTTCGTTCAGGTCGTGGATGCATTGATCATGTGTTCACCCTTCGTCAGTTGTTGGAACACCGCCACACGTATTGCAGGCCAACGATCGTTGTGTTTCTTGATATTAGGGCTGCCTTCGATTCGTTGGACAGAACTGTGCTCTGGAACTGTCTGTTAGAGAGAGGTGTACCTGAGAAATTTGTTAACATCCTGAAAGCCCTATACAGAAACACCTCAGGTAGAGTTAGGGCATACAACCAACTATCACCACTGTTCCCAACCAACAGTGGGGTCAGACAAGGTTGTCCAATCTCTCCATTTCTCTTTAACTTTGCCATCGATGACATTCTGGAGTCAGCTCTGAAGGATGTGCGTGAAGGTGGTGTAGATCTGCTACCTGGAGATAGACTTTTCGACCTCGAGTATGCAGACGATATCGTCTTACTGTGCGATAGCATGCAGGCTGCCCAAATCGCACTTAATCAGGTGGCGATCAGTGTCTGTAAGTATGGTATGTGCTTTGCGCCGTCTAAGTGCAAAGTAGAAAAAAAAAAAAAAAAAAAACCTGTACCTGCACTCACTCTTGCGGGTGAACCGCTTGAAGTTGTTGATAAGTTTGTGTACCTGGGTAGTTGTGTGAGTGCTGGCGGAGGGGTGATGGATGAGATTTCCAACCGTATAATGAAGGCTAGGGTGGCATACATCAACTTGAGCCACCTATGGCGCCGTCGCGACGTTAGCCTGGCTATCAAAGGTCGGGTATACAATGCTTCGGTGCGGGCTGCGCTGCTCTACGCCTGTGAAACCTGGCCTCTCCGAGCTGAGGATGTGCGGCGACTCTGCGTGTTCGATCACCGCTGTCTCCGCAGGATTGCTTGCGTTCGATGGCATCATCGCGCGAGTAATTCTGAGGTTCGGCGGCGTGTGTTTGAACACAGTGGAGATCACCATTCATTGAATGTCGTCATCTGGAAACACCGGCTCCGGTGGCTTGGACATGTGCTCCGAATGTCACCCCAGAGGCTTCCGTACAGGTCTCTGTTCGCTAGCCCTGGGACGGGATGGAAAAGGCGGAGAGGTGGTCAGTCCATGACGTGGCGTCGTGGGATGAAGGATTTTTGTGCTAGATTAGCATCGGTTGGTGTGTCACGACTCCCTGGTTGGGGTCCGAGAGATAGCTCAAATCGATGGCTCGAAACGTTATCGGATATGGCCAAGAATCGTAATCAGTGGCGAATGTGTTACGATTTCCTTCTTTCTTCCCTTCCCGATGATAGCTAACGAACACTCTTTGAACTTGTTAAGCATGACTGTTTTCCTTCCAGATGAAGTTCTTTATCCATTCTCTACTTATATATAATTTTCCTTTTCCTTCCTTTTTTTGATCTATGTTGTTTTATTATTATTGTGTGGCGCATCTTTCTTGGTGCCATATTGTACCAAGTTTTTAAGCTTTTAAATAAATAAATAATAAAATACGTGATAGTACAGCAGGGACGCACAGGTGTTCCTTAGGTAAACCATCGGACCATCTAAACAAAAATTATTTTAAATTAATATATAAAAATGAAATTAAAAATAATTTTCTTCTACAAATCAAAGTTAATATTATGAGAATACCTGACCAATTTGAAAGTTTATAGGACGGTGATAGTGAAAACTGACAAGCGACGAGACAATCCTTTTAAATATCAACTATCCAAAATGTCAAATGTATCATTATCATCCTCGTCCTCAATCATTTTCCAGGAGTGTTCCGACACGTGATGACCTCTTTTCCTGTGTTGGCCGCTCTTAGTTTAGCATTCATATCATCCATTAGAAGTCTGATGTCGCTATTTGGGGACTGGTGCATTACTGTTTACGGTTATCTGTAGAAATCTTCCTTCTCTACTTATGCCAATCACCTAATCATTGAAGGCGAAGAAGTCTGAGAAGGGTTCTCCGTTATCATGCATCTCGCCTCTAGCTCGATGATGAGTTATCTTCCTGAATTATCTGCTCCCAGTTTATCATTCTGAGAAGCCTGTTTAAAGCCTCAACAAGACCAGACAACTGAATATGTTTCGGAAATCACTTTGAAGTTTCTCGTAGACCTTGCTTTAAAAGAATATTATTAAGTCCACCCTATTTATATATATCTTGCCACACAGAAATTTAAGCGGCTAAATACATTAGGACACGTTTTAATCTTACGCCTGTTGCAAGTGATTAGGTGGTTAGTGTATCCACCACGCGTACAGCCAGTAATGCGGAAGCTAGAAGCAGAATTCATCGTATCCCTGATTATCAATGCGTTTCCATGATAAATTTACAGAAGTCTGAAGAATACATCTTTTTCTAGAAGAAAGGGATAGCAGATATCAATGCTATGTTTACTACTCTATGGTACATAACAATTTCAATGGTTGAGTATTTTCAATTAAAATACGTTAGTCAAAAAGTAAGTGAAAGAAGTCTTACAACTCAGACTTGTATAATAGGTTAAGACTTGCATCTGTTTTGCTGTGCTTTCAAATGATGACAGGTTATGTGAGTAATTCATGAAAAAGCTTCTTTTAGTCAATATACCAGGACTTAGGAAGTGTAGTAGACATATCTGATCATTTCACATACTAAAGTAGGTTTCTACAGAATGACCGTACATACATACTTTACCACCCAGTAAATAACCCGACCGAAAGCTGCTACCTTGACGTGGTGGTCGGGCTTGAATACCGCAATGACCTAATCAAGCTATACTGGCTGAGACTTATGTCTCTTGATGTCCTACCATGCCAGAAAGGTTGTTTGGATAGCGGTTAAAACAAAAAGCAGCTACCCAATCCACCATTATGATACAAACAAAATTACAAAATTTCATGCCGGATCGGCCGTGGCCCGGATTAACAACGACCACGTTTCCTGCTGCCGTGTCACAGGGCAGGAGTGATAAATATGCTACTGAGACACACCAAACAATAAAGAGGAAACAAAAACAGGCCGCGTGTGACCGGCCTCAAGCAGTTGTCCCCTGGGCTCTGCGGTCACGCAACCAACTTCCACGGTGTGGGTAGCCGGGAAGTAACAATCGCCCTCACAATCTGAAATGCACACGAAACCTCTCTAATACTCACTCATCTTTGTCTTCATCTTCATCTCTATCATCTTGCTTCCTTCCACTGATGCAACTCCTTGGCTCGATAGCTCTCCACTTCCTCTCCACTCTGCGTCCACTAAAAACGATGGAAGCCAAAATACCACCACCAACAGCCTCCTAAAGCCACGCCACCAATTTCATATAGGAACTTTTAATGTTAGGACACTTTGCCAAATAGGACAACAAGCATCACTAGCCAAAACCCTGGCATCCCGAGCCATTGATGTATGCTGTGTTTCAGAAACACGCATACAAGACCCAAGTGTGGTTATTCACCTAACCCCACCTGGCCAACAGGTTGAATCTGCAAAATTCACCTTGAGGGTGTCAGGAGATGCCACAGCTAGTTCACGTGGATTAGCTGGTGTAGGGATAGCTTTGAGTACTAGGGCAGAAAAGACATTGCTTGACTGGATCCCGGTAGATAGCCGAATGTGTGCTGTCCGTCTGAACGGGTCAGTAAAAAGGAGGAAGGACTGCACTACTCGCCGATGCCTTTTCGTAATCTCCTCTTACGCCCCCACTGACTGCAGTTCAGATGAAACGAAGGATGAGTTCTACCAAAAGCTGTCTAGTTTGGTGCGAAAGGCTAAACGCTCAGACATAGTCGTTCTAGCCCGTGACTTTAACGCTCAAGTAGGGGGAAATTGTGTCAATCTGAGAAGGATGTCGGTGGCACCTATGGAGTTCCGTGCCAGCGAACCGACAACGGTGACCGTCTCCTACAGTTCTGTTCTGATAATCATTTGTTTCTTGTAAGCACTAACTTCAAACACAAGAAGAGACACTGTTTGACTTGGAGACCCCCTTCATCTAACCAACGCTGGACACAAATAGACCACATAGCAATAAGCTATCGTTGGCGTGGGTCGGTAGGAGATTGTCGCTCCTTCTGGAACACGTGTGTAGATACCGACCACGCACTGGTCCGCGCTCGGGTGTGCTTACGACTGAACGGACGTAGGAAACAGCTGGCGGTAAAACCATCACGTCTCCAGCTCGATCAGGAAACTAAATCCGTATTTGAGGAAGAACTAGCTAAACACATATCTGTGTTCGACAGCTGTGCTCACCCTGAAGAAGCTTGGAAGAATATCCAGGCAGCCATAGATACAGCTGTAAAAGCTGTGAATAAGTTAAACCCAAAGGTGAGCAAAAACCACTGGATCTCCACCGCCTCATCCGAACTGATAGATGCTAGAAGGCTTATACCGGCGAGCTCCGAATTCAATGAGGAGCGAAAGCTGCACAAAAGGAAACTTACGAAAAGTCTCCTCAAGGACCGTGAACAGTGAAGGGTGACAAAAGCGAAAGAGATGGAGAAAGCTTCGAGGATAGGCAACACCAGTCAACTATTTAGACTCATCAGGGAAACGGGTAGGAGAAGACAAATCATTAGTGAAACAATCTCGGAGAAAAATGGCACTATAATTAGCTCCCAGGATAGACGACTGGATCGCTGGAAAGAGCATTATGAGGAGCAGTTTAATTGGCCCACAGCCACGCTCATCCTTCCGAACATCCAACACCTCCCTGAATGGGATATAGACACAGGTCCTCCATCCCTAACTGAGGTTACTAAAGCTGTCACCAATCTGAAACTGGGCAAAGCAGCGGGACCTGATGGAATCACTCCAGAGGTATTTAAGTACGGTGGAGACAGTTTACTGTCTGCATTAACTGAGGTACTAGGCAGCGTCTGGGAATCAGAAGAAGTCCCATCGGGTTGGTGTAAGTCACTGATTATCCCCATATACAAGAAGGGAGACAAGTCTTCCTGTGATAATCACAGAGGGATTAGCTTGACTAATATAGTATCTAAAGTCTTAGGCTCAATAATCATGCGTAGACTGAGTGGTGCTTGGGAGGCACAAACACGAGAGAGCCAGGTAGGCTTTAGACCAGGAAGAGGGTGTATTGATCATATCTTCACCCTCCGACAGATTCTAGAACATAGGCATTCCTACCGGCGTCCAACAGTCATTATATTTCTTGACCTAAAGGCAGCATTCGACTCTGTCGACCCAGAAGTTCTCTGGAGATGCTTGGCTGTAAAGGGAATTCCGAGAAAATATATTGCACTGATTAAGGCACTCTACTCGTACTCATACAGCCAGGTGAGGGCTTACGGCGAGCTGTCGTCTGAACTGGTGACAACTAGTGGTGTCCGTCAAGGATGCCCATTATCCCCTTTTCTATTCAACTTCATCATAGATGTACTAATGGACTTAACCCTAAGTGACTTCAGCGACTCAGGGATTGACTTGCTACCAGGGAATAATCTCGTTGACTTAGAATATGCAGACGATATAGTCCTCCTAGGCGAAGACGCTGACAAAATGCAGAGTCTTCTAAACACCTTGAGTCGCAATCTACGAATGTTTGGCATGCGATTCGCTCCCGCCAAATGCAAGATGATGTTACAGGACTGGACTACATCGACTCCTAGATTAGAAATAGGGAGTGAAGTGGTAGAGCACATTAACCGCTTCACTTATTTGGGAAGTACCATCAGCCAGTGACAACGGGTTGATCTCTGACGAAATCTCAGCACGAATACAGGGCGCTCGTTTCGCATTTGCCAGTTTACGCCGACTCTGGCGTAGACGAGATGTTCGACTATCGACCAAAGGGCGGGTGTACTGCTCATCAGTCCGCTCCGTCCTCCTTAATGGTTGTGAGACCTGGCCACTGAGAGTGGAAGACATGAAAACACTAGCTGTCTTTGATCATAGGTGCCTGCGCTCTATTTCCTGTGTAAAGTGGCATAATAAGGTGAGCAAAACTGAAGTTAGGCGTCGAGTTCTAGGTAAACTGGGGAAATCAATCGACGAAGTAGTGAAGTTACAAAGACTGAGATGGTTAGGACATGTGTTGCGTATGCCAAGTCATCGCCTCCCTCGATGAGCAATGTTAGCGGATATAGGGTCAGGCTGGAAAAAAGCTAGCGGCGGTCAAACAAAAACTTGGCACCAGTCAATGAAATCCACAACAGTTGGTCTAAGTCACGTAGGAAGGTGTAGACTTCCAGGCTGGGGTCCTCGAGACGGTAAAAATCTATGGTTGGAAACAATTGGTGACATGGCTCAAAGTGATCGTTCTCAGTGGCGCAGATGCATCCACTCCTTGTGACTTATGATCTCCAATGAAACTGTTTTGTTCTTCGTTATTACTCCTCCTTTGTCTCACACCTCTGCTCACTGTCTCTATTATGCCTTTCTTGCACTTTCTTCTCTTGCTTCGCGTGCTACACGGAGTGTGGCGACTTGAACTTCCGCATATTTGTGCAAAGTTCTATATCGAAAACAGACAGACAGACCCAGTAAATAAACTTACACAACACTCCTACTGTTCTGTGCAATATAATTCATATATGATTAACAAATGGAATGACAGATTTTGATTCAGTAAAACAAAGATTCACACTACAGGAAGACACATAATATTTCCGATGCTCGGTAAAGTCGAGTAACTAGTTTCACTGCACTATATTAGTCTGAGGTACAAGAAAACAGTAGTTATCTGTGTGTAATTGGTAACCAGCGATAGAAAAAGTCATCCAACAATCAATAAAAATCTCAATGTTTACGTGTCTTTCGAATCATCTAAAGCATATCGGTCATCACATAGATGCTTCATGTATAAGTCCACATAACCAAAGAGATGAAGGTGAGATTTATGATGTAAAGCTGATGGAAGCCAATTTCGGGGCGGAATAATACCAGGTGGTGGAAGACCAAATCTATCGTTTTCAAAAAAAAAAAAACAACAAAAACAATCGGTAATTTGTTGGTGATGAAACTAAGCAACGCATAAACTGAAAAGTGAAGTGATAAGTTTAAAAAATGTATTGAAGAAAGGTTGTTGGGAATTATAGCCGGATCAAACGTCGCAGCCATATTAATAATCAAAATCTATTCTTTTTATGTTATGCAATTAGGAAGTTGTCGAATAAAACAAAAGTTGCCAAAGCTTTTTAACGTCCACAAATGACAAATGACATTTCAGTATATTGTGACTTCCATGACGAACGGAACAGATAATTGTATTTGGTGAAGTGCTAACTAAAAGTGAGAGCACAAAACCATAACGTCATTTCATGAAAGTGTTTATTAATGAACCACTCTAGACTCGAACTAATGGGTACACCATTTTCAACCAACACTAATAAAGGATATCAAATACCATCAATGATTGATCCCCTTAACACCAAGCAAAGACAATCAGACAACTTGAAGAATCTTATCACTCGAAGCTAGCTGTTCGTCAAAGAATGGAAAGTGCCAACTAAGGAGGACAATTTCGGAGGCATGAATATGTGCTCATCTCGGGAACTTGACCCATACATACATTCTGTTACGGTCTTTTAACCATTAGATTATTGTTAAGAACCATCCTGAATTGTTGCATAAACTCCTACACCCTTTTAAGTAAGCTTTCAACTTAATGCTGAGCACTTCTGGAAGGAAATGAAAAAATGTCGTAAAGGACTGGGACTCGCATTAACTGGAACAACAGTGTCACATGATATTCCGTCAAGTAATAGTTTACTTGAGGACTCTATACCAAGAGTAGAGATGTTGCCATTTCATCCGTTGAGAATGCTGCAGTGTGTTAGCGTATGTTTTAGAATACGGCTATTCTTACTGTTAAGTTTACCATTTATAGTGGTAGTGTTAGTATTTTTTTAATTATTACATTGCTTTACATAGGGCTTCAAGTCAGAGCTTTGAAGTTTCGGTAGCAGTGGTGTTTACTTTAACGGGATGGGGTTGCTAGCCACATGTCCAGCCTTCCCTCTATACCAGTCTTATAACCAACTCAGTGAGGTAAAGTAGTGCATTCTCCGGGGATAGGACCCCAAACCTCAAATGTGGTTGGCGAGCATTCTACCGCTGTACCACCGACGCACGTAGTAGTTAGTAATCATTGTTATTATTACCATTACTATTTATCACTACAATACTGTGTTTAACCTAAAAATTCCAATTTTAATAATGTACTTATCAGATGAGGAAATTCAACTTCATCACATAATAGAAAGCAACTGAAAGAATTGTTTCTTAGACTAATCATCATTAGTCTTTATCACGACTTTAAACACATTGTTATCCACAGTTATATCCGTGTGCTGAGCAATTTCACACGACACACACACACACACATTTTGCATCAATAATAGAAGCATGTGGGAAAAAATTTTGCAACTTACTTCATAACTGCATCATTAAACAACTGACGATCGCTGGGTCCAAAGTTGTGTATAAATAACTCCCCTTGGTGCCATTTTGCATAATTACCCAAAGCACGAACCCTCGCTCTCCACTTATTGTATGTTTCAGCTGTAGGTTGCCAACATTGTGGTTTCAACAAATCAACACCAAAATTACCACTTCTGTTGAGAGAAGGGGTTGTACGAACAGGCTAAAATAGGGATGCATTTTAAAATTATGATAACACCTATTCGAACTTGAATTTCTTGGCTATCTAAGTCAGAAAATACAACACCCAGTTTAGTTGACAGAAAATCGATTTCATACCCTTTCGACCGGCTAACTCAACACGATACAGGCAAGACAATTATAGCAGCCATCAATATCAAGTAGCCTCGATTCTTGCAGCAAACGTGAAATGCGTAACTCGTCCACCATAGCTAAGAGACCACAGTAAGCAACATTCTCAGCAGGCCTTCTTAAAGCTACAGTCAAATATTGAAGCCCAAAAGGTGAGGACCAAATATGTCCCGTTTACGATACAAAAGAACAGAGAAGGGGAAACAATAAAAACTCTAAATCAGCCAGTTGATCATAAAGCACACCAGGACACTTAGTTGTTAGAGGTACTTTGATCAGGTGAGACGAGATCAGTGTGGAGATCCATGGAATGATGACAGTCACAACCCATACATTTAGAAGTGACAGGGTAGACAGAAAAGTAAGAGATATATTACAAGGTAGAATTACTTTGGTTTTCTCAGCGAAGTGGTCAAAACAGTATATTCGAGTTAACACCATATTTAGTACAAACTATAGCACAAATATCAAGCCGCCTGCCTGCATACTACAAGCTAAAATGTTTGCAGTTCTATTAGTGGTACCTACCTAAAGAAGAAACTAAATAAAGTTAAACAGTACTTGCCGTGGATAAAGAAAAAAGAGGTTGGACAAATGCCATTTGGACCGTTTACAATCACAGGGTTCATGACGAGGTAACTCAGAGAGACGGAGAGTTTTTGTTTAAAAAATAGAAGGGTAATATGGAGAAATCTATACTCCAACAGATCTCGAAAGGGTTGAGATATGATCAATACGCACTCGTCTAGGTTCCAAGGCTGGGTGCTTGGTTTCCTCGAGTTCGTTTTTTCAGAGCTCCACTTAGTTTAAACTTCCATCCTTAGAGATCACTTCATTCTCCATAGGTTTCTTAGAGCTCGTTCCCCTAATGATCCTAAATAGCTGACAGGTATTACATATTGCTGATGTCTTCATTTTTTTCGTATCACTATCTCTCCTTCTTCTCACTTATTCTGCAAATATATACATGGAAAGATAGACCACACGAAACATTCGACTAAACTGAACAACTTTCGGATGACTGACAGATTATGCTGAGACTTTCAGTACCTGAAATCGAACTAAAGTTTCTAATAATACAAGTGAAAACACCTCACATCTTTAAGCTGTGGGATTAAAACTAAGGAAGTTAACACATCTTTTTCCTTGATGAGAGTCAACAAAGAGAAAACAACAAGTTCAGCATGATAATATATCAATTTTACTCTGTCAGCTCTGGCCAACTGCACACAACTTAAAACAGTTTCAATGTACAAAATAATCGCCACATATTCTAATTGTTTGGTTTGAACATGCCAACTAAACACAAGAAGAATTAAAAGAACGGAACTACAGTTGTCGGTATGCTTGTTAGTCCATAGACCTCATTAGGGGTCAAATATTTACGTCGAGAGTAAGATTGAAAGCAAATAATAAATTAAGCAATGTGAAATGACACTGTCAAAACCAACCAAATTTAAAGAAATAAAAATGAAGTTCTCTCCCAATGGTATGGAAATATTAACAACAGTGTCACCCACCCACACACCCACTACATCCAAAGCACACAGGTGGTTCAAATGAACTGTAGTCAAGATTTGACAGAATAGTTCTATAATATTTGGGCGCCGAGTGAGAAGGTGGTTTTTAGTCGCTTAATAACCACGTCTTCGGAGATACTCAGTAAACTGAAGCTAACCTGTAACTCAATTATCTAAAAGGATTTTAAAATATCCATTTCGCGGGGTACTATCTATTACATGACGAGCGACTGCACTCCTAAAGACATTTGCACATTCCAGTCACAAGATCCTTGAAATATACCCAGACATGCAGTTATTATTCGTTGTCTTGTTGATTCGATATATATCCCAGAGCATACGTATGTTAATTGGCGTATATACCATTGAAATTAAATGCGCTTATGACTTTTCAACATTAGACTGCCTCAGTGAATAACTATTCAGTAGAACGTGACTAACCTGATAGCAAGACAAGTCCTTCGGCATGCATCATTGATTCATTTAATTCGTCCAAATACCTCATTACCTTTGAGTTAAAAATTCAGGAGAGAGGGTTTCAAGTCATTCAGCTCACACAACCTAACCAAATGAGCTGTTAACATCCTATGTTATTTCCGACACTTACTGTCCTATGCATACTTCGAAAAATGGTGAGTTCATCAATAAGCCTTTCTTCTATAAAAAGCTTTTCTGTGAATGAAAACAATGTCCCTCATATGATCTATTTCGTAACTTATCAGACGATACTACGAAAATGAGCAACTAAGAGTTGTACATGGAATCTTAGCAGTTAAATGACACTAACTAAATGCCCTTTAAATTCGACCAGAAGTACCATTAGACTGACCATCTGGGTATCGCAAGAGCTATTTATTGTCAAGAAAAGCACTGAGGTGCTTACGAGGATGCGCAATAATCCAAATGATTCCCCATTCATCATTGCATCAGCTAAAGGAACACGGTTACTGAATACAGTCGCTAACATATTGAATTTCAGTAACGTTATCAGTGACGTTACGACGATACATGTGACTTTGTCGTTCATGTAGGCATACACTAACACACAATAAAATGTCAGTGATGACAAGATAAACATTGCGAATCTTATAAGAAAGAGTTGGTGCTAAAACCATATAAGATATAGTATCAGCCTGAAAATTCAGCGAGGGGGGAATAATCGTACTCTCAATCAACTGTTCGCTACGCAGGGCAAGCAATCAAGAAACTGATCTGTTATGACTGGTTCGGCATACTGAATAAAAAAAAAATCGTTTGACGCAACTGATATATGGCCTCCATAAACGACCTGGTACAGCCGAGGGTAGATAGACTTCGGTCTTCCCCCAAAAATAATAATGTCATATGCTCTATCAAAACCCTTTGTCCAAGTGGACTTCCAAACTTTTTGTGAGAAAAGGATAGCCTTCTACTTCATTTTCAACGACATTCATCCTAGAATCTTGAGATATCAATAAGCCCAACTAAAACTACCGTAAATTAGCCTTATTCGTGTCTATCAGTAAAGTATTTAAGAAATCAGAATACCACTGCAACTTATAATTACAACATTGTTAAGACCAACTCACCCCATTACTTTTCGATGCTTCGTCTACATCAACATGCCATCTAGGACCACATTCATAAAGCGCACAGTTATCACCTAACAGCTTATCGCATGCATATTTCAAAGCAGTAAATCGCTGGTCCACAGGCTTCCACGGTCTGAGATTACTATGCTGTTGCTCAGAATCATAAGAATAAGTTTCACTTGGTCTGGCTTCATTTGACAGCAAATTTTTACCATGATAAGTAGAAGGCTGTATCCCACTTTCTTCATGGGGTAATACACTATTGCTTCCTCCTGAAGTTTCATTATCATTATTATCGGGCACCTTAATTTCGTTATTCTTTGTTTGACTAACACAGTTATTGACCTCCGTCACAGGACTTGACCTCTCGAGAAAAACATTGTGTGATTCATCAACTTCGCCGAACATAAGTTCCATGATATGCACCCTAGAGAAAAAAATATTCCACTGCAATCAAACAGTTAAGACACCTGAAGAGAAGATGATTGTTTGACAGTACATACGCATCAACAAAAAGAAACCATCGTTTCACAATCAAATACAGATATTTTCGGCTGAAATAAAAAGGATACACATTTTATTACAGTGACTACATTAAAACCCTCCGGATGTTCGGCATAAAACTTACTATTTTACTTTTCAAAAATTAGAACCAAATCAGTGAAATACTTCTATAATACCTGGGAGTTGAATTTATTTAGAGCTGAAACTATTTATGAACACATTCTAGCGAAAACTGCACCCACATCGTGTATGAATTAAGTTTATACTCCGAATAATACCGTCGGAAAGGAGCTCAAAAAATTAAGCAATGCAATATTTTTAAATCAATTAATTAAGGTTATAAAACAACCGAAATGTACTAGTTACTGTCGTTATACAAAACAACCAAACATAAGAAATAACACCGCAGTACTAGGAACTGCGAAGTGCATTTATTTAAGATTACTCAATAATACACCCAGTGTTTCTAGTGGTTCATCTCAAAAGCAAACAATTATAATTCAGCTGAGTTCGCCAAAACACTACCGGAATGAATGACTTACGACCAGTCATCGATATTAGTGATTTCAGCACACTGAGCATGTTTTCAATTCTATGAACTATACACTTCGTTAGTTACTATATAAACCTACAAGCTAACAGTGTTAGAATTTTTCTGTTCCTTCTCACACACCTCCCCTATTCTATTTTCAAAACATGTAAACTGATGGTGATTAAACAAAAAACTATAATGCTTATATTTTGGATGCATTGATTTTGTTTCCTTTACTACCATTCAAATCCTGAAGTACGGTATTGTCATTATTCATAACCACTGTAATTCCAGCTGACTGACTGGATTCAACATAGAAATTTGCACCGGTGTGCAGCAGTTCGAGTCGCCACAATTCACTCAGCACACAAAGCCAGAGAAGAAAGTAAGCAGGAATGCAAAGTAGAGACAGTAGACAGAGATATGAGGCAGAAAGAATAGTAATAACAGAGAAAAATATAGTTCTATTGGGTATATAAGTCACAAGTAGTGAATGCATCTGTGCCAGTCATTGACAACGATTTTGAGCCTCTGGAGGGATTCCATCAGGTCCTGCAGCTTTGCCTCGCTTCAGATTAGTAATCTGAGTTAGGGACCGAGGACCTGTGTTTACATCCCCATTCAGGATGGTCTGGGATGCTGGTTAAGTTGAGCGTGGCTGTTGATCAGTTGAATTGCTCATCTAAGTGTTCTTTTCAACACTCCAGTCGTCTATCCTGAAGTGCAAACGAAAATCCTTCAACGTATCAGCTTCATGCATGCAACTATCTATGAAGTCATTATTGATGATTACGAACACAATTTGAAGTTATTGGTCAAATCATTAGCTACACTGCATATTTCTAAACGCAAACTAAGTATTTCGACCACATAGTTAGGGATTTCAATCCAGTTTCCTCAAAAACTACGTTTTAGTCGTGCCAACTTCCATTCAAGGTGCAAAATAACGCGAAACCTACCCGTTCGCTGCTGGTTGCAGTCCACTCTTAAAAGCTTGGAAGGACTGATGACTTACATGCGCACTCAGGACAAGATTGCTCTACACGTCTACACACTTCCCCAGCTGAAAATTGATATGTTGACTTTTAATACACAGAACATTGTATACTAACTAACCCACGTCGGTCAACCTGGTACCAGACAATCACTGTCCCCAAAATGACTTATGAAAGCACTTTTTAACTTCCTCACCTGTTACTATATTTATGAAACCTGCATTTAATTGTACAAAATACAATATTCGCATACTACATTAGCCTTATTTATACCACAGCTGTGGAGATATTAATATGTAAGGAGAGCAGTCTTTACACTTGTAACTAAGGGAATATCGAAATTAGTTATCACCGTTAAAGGTGCCAGTGTATGAGCAAATCGTTCGCTAACAGGGATATATTAAAAGATGGGTATTTTTTCGTTAGCGGCGTGGGTAGGATGGGAATAACTGGAACGTGAGAATTTTTCGGGACATTTGTAAACGGGAAGGAAGCTTGCGATGTGGACAATGAGTAAATTAGGTTGCATTTTATTCACTTCTTCAGTGGTCAAAATTCCACGTCCAGCCAGCGTTGTCCATGTGCATTCTCCGAGTAGGCAGGTGTTGACATACGCGTCTATATCGTGCATGATGACATGAATCTTAGAAGTATTAACACGGACATTGATGAGTAACAACGGGAGGCACGTTATGCCGCCTACAACTTTCTGGTGTTCCTACTAAGTCCAGAGTAGATGGATCATGACAGGGTTCATGCACAAGTGCACATTCAAGCACTGTTGAAACAAGTATGCATGTATACCTGCAGGATCATTAATGTTGACTCAACTCGAATAATATGTGGCGCATAGAAGTCACCTAATACTACACAGGTATTCCCATTTAAAAACCAATAATCAAACCGACTATTCACACTACCGTCCGACAACCTTGATATCCGAAAGCAGTGGGTACGTAGTCAAACAAACAGGAAGGTATTCATTAACCAATGGATACAGAAAGCCTCGAAATCATATAGAAAGTATAGCCCCAGCATGGTTTCTCGCTCTATTCTTCTGAATTTATCAGCAGCATACTCTATCTGAGTGGCTATAGCATGCCATGTTGTAGAGGCTTACATCAGACCCCCTCTCCGTAGGACGAAATTCGCTAAGGATGGCCGTTTGACTTGCTCATTTTTTTATGTGTATGTTTAGGGTTACCCATCGAGTGCCTTCGAAGCGACGAAATCAGTTGATGGACAGTTACTCTGAACCTCTTCAACATGCCAGTTATGTGTAGCGCATCGACATGGGACAGTTTAAGTTTATTCATCTAGTAACTTACGAATAATGCCATTCGTCAACTTAGTTCACTAACCCTTTCTATTGAAATTGCCTCACCAGACTGTCATCGGTTGCCTTCTAGTCTGACTGCTACCCACTAGTAAACATCTGGAGTCAACATTTTCTACCATGAGTACGTTCATCTATATCAGTTAGAAGAACTTTCTCGATCGTTGGTATAAGCCCATAACTTTCTGGCAATCTCTCATATGCATCTGCTATTACAGTTCATACGCATGGTGAACAGATATACATGAGAAAACGGTATGAGTGATGAATTCCTCTAGCCATCAGAATCGGTGATTCACACCATGAACGTCTCGACCTTATGACAATCTTATGTTTCACCGATCTCTGATACTCTATGCTGGTGCTATGGTAATGCTCACCACTAAAGCTGACCACCTGCTGTACTTCGTTCGACTTTCTGTGTGTTCCATCTCGGAATAGCGGTAATGATGACGATCTGCTTTATTAAAAAACAACACTTTCAGTAAAACATAGAATTTTCAGCATTTATCGCAACGTTGCATCCAGTTTACTTAAAGTATAGATGAAATTAACCAAAGGAACTTATCCGCATGCACAGTAGGAATTATGCCAAAGGTGTGCAAAGTACAATTATTGCTGATGCCCACATGCTAGCTTGAAAGTTTAACTCGCCACAAGGAGACGACAACTAGGTGGGAAGAAGTCAAAACTTAGTTAAGTTGAGTTAGAAACTAATTGAGGAACTGCCGCGAACAGGCAATTCAACAACGCGTTCGTGAGGTGAGCTTCTACCTAGTTGTCAGTAGTGAACAAGTGTTTATTTATCTGCCTTTGAGAACAAATACAACACGAAAAGGATGGAGCTAGTTAAAGAAGTAAACAGTCAGCTTCGTGAAGTTTGAACTGGCTTAAAACTTTTGATTTGTGGGAGAGGTATGAAGCCATTAGCTTTGTGATCGTGCAGCTTCTGAAGTAATTCTGGGGACAATCTTAATCAAGGGGCTATCGGATATGTGTTGCCCAAGATGTTGGCTAAGAAATTAGGAGAAGGAAACAAGCTAGCATCCGAAGTCGTCGAAGACAGCTATGGAATGAGCCAGAATATTGAGGCACAACTACATGTGTGTTTGTGTTGATTACGAGATTTGAATCTAGTTAGCTCTATTATTAATGATCCGCCGTCTGTTATACCATTCCCACTGGCACTGTAAACTTAATACTGTAATGTTTTTCGTCACCATTAGGGGAGATGAATTTCTTCTGAAATTTCCATTTACATGAGGCAGTAATTTATCTGTTTCTAAAACATAAAATAAAGCATACAATTACACCAAGATAAGCACAAATCCATTGTCACTCAATAAAAGACAAAAACATACCGAACAGTATCGAAGGAACGGACGAAATGAACAGTTAATTAATTACATATACACACAACAGAGTGACAGGAAATAAAGAACACTCAAGGTCACATCAAGTGGTTAGAGTCACATTAAGTTAGCCAATTATCGCGACAAGAGGGTCACATAGGATCGATTAGCTGTCTGTCAAACTGTCTATCTGTCTGTCGCGATTATCACTCCTCGCGAACGATCACCACGTTAACTTGTCGTATCTGGAACCTACAAATTTTCTGCTTCTTCCAACAAACATACGCTTCTTATATCCCGTTCGACTTCTTGAGTTGCAGTGTTCAAACGCACCATCCTGACGCGGCAATCTTGGTCATAGTACACCTGCTTAACTATAGCCTTTTGCCAGAGACCTCTCTGTGTGTTAGTACTGTAAACTAGGGCGAGATCACCATGTTGTAGTTTACGCTTTATATCCAATCATTTAGATCTTCCTTGCAGCATAGGAAGATATTCACGTGGCCATCTGTGCCAGAATAAATCAGTCAAATTTTGTGGTAGTAGTTGACTGTATTGTTGGAAGAAAGCATTCGCTTTACCTTTGTTATGTCGTGATTTTCTCAGGAATTCACCAATTGCTGAACGAGTCTCAGTTAAAAGCCTTCTACGACCAAAGAAAGTACATGAATCAGGTGCATCGTCCTCACCGACCACTT